GGTGAGTGAGCAAGAGTCCCAAGGCCTTTGATGGACACTACGGAAATATCAAGAATTAACATAGAGGGGGCTGGAGCTGAAGCTCAATGGAAGTGTACTGGCCCAGCATGTGTGAGGCACTGGATTCCATTCTCAGCACCGCATAAAAATAAATAACTAAAGGTCTGTCAACAACTAAAAAAAATGTTAAAAATAAAAAAGAATTAACATAAGGAGGGAGGGGGAGAGAGGGGGGGAGAGAGAGAGAGAGAAAACACAATTTCAGAAATAAATTGGCCAGGGCTGGGGACGTAGCCCAGTGGTAGAATGCTTGCCTGGCATGTGCAAGGTCCTGAGTTCAATCCCCAGTTCCACAAAAAAAAGAAAAGAAAGAAAGAAAGAAATTAATTGTCCAAATAAACTATCAGAGATTTACAGGATTTGGTTTCCAATTTTGAATCTCACCTGGCAAAATGTCAATTTTCTCAGTTTTCACAAATGGAGACAAGCATCCTTTGGTCCCAGCGTTAGGCCTCATGAGCTCTGTGAGCCTGGCAGGAGCACTGATCCCGATTGCTGATGCCCACTGAATGCCGGTTGGGTGCCAGGCACTTTTCTAACGCGTGTATGAGAATGCATGTGGTGTTCTCATTAAGCCTCACTGTTGCCTGATAACACATAGGTCCTGTCCTTTATCCCCATTTTACAGATGAAGAAACAGAGGTGCAGGCAAGTAAAGGAAGTTTGCAGGACCATAGAGATATTAAGTGGTGGTGCCAGGGTTTGGACCCAGGTGGGGTGCCCCAGAGTCCATCCTTCAACCATACCACTATGTGGTCCAGCTTCTTAACTTCCTTAAACCTCTCTGTGTCCTCATGTATCAGATGTGGGTGACAGTTTTTATACTTCAGGGCTGTTGTGTGGATTAAGAGTTCTGAAGAGTGTGAAGCATTAAGCCTGGGAGTGAAAATAACCAGTAGGACTGTGCATAGGCAGTGCCACACCATGTATATGTTGACATGAACGAGGGTGATAGGACAGGGACAGGGTCCTAAGTCCAGGTTAGAGCTTCAGTCCTGCCGTCATGAGTCCCTGTGCTGCAGAAGGCTTCAGGACACCCACCCGGCGCTGCTGCCGCTCTGCTGCCTCCTCAGCCCCACCAGGTGGGGGTCCTCTGACTTCTGGTGATGAAGCCTGGGGCTTAGAGATGAAAAGCTTCTTTCACTTAGCGAGAGCTTGTCTCAAAATAAAACATAAAAGGGACTGGGGGATGTGACTCAGTGGTTAGACTCTTCAGGGTTCAGTCCCTGGTACTAGCGGGGGAAAGCATTTGTTTGTGGAAACACTGCTAATAAGTGGGAGAAGTGGGATCTGAACATGGGAGAGCCCTGGGCACTACACTCATGGTCAGAGGCCCCGTCCTCCCCACGTTCCCTTCTCTGCTGTTCCCGCAGCCTCCATCCCCTCCATCTCCACTTTCTTCTGGTGCAGTTCCATTCCTGGAATACTTCCTCTTGTTGCCACCACTTGTAAAAATTCTCTCCATGATTCATGAACTGGCCCACATGCCACCAACACCATGAGCCCTCCGGTTCCAAGTGCAAAATCTAATGTTATCTCCAGTTTCTTGGAGGCTCCTGCAGTCTTTTATTCCCCCTTATTCTCCATTCTTGCTGGAGTGGGGGAACCTTTAGGGCTCAACCTCACAGCACCCACAGCCCTAGAACCCCATCGGCTTGTGTGCTGCTGGGGCTGCAGGGCAGGCGGGTGGTGCAGAGGGGCCACTCAGAGGCCCTTGGCCCTTTTGAGGAGTCAGGAGCCTAGAACAAGACACCAGCATGTTGTCTGGGTTAGGGACCTGGGATCTATATTCTAGTCATATAGCTATTGTTTTAGTCAGCTTTTTCACTATTGTGAAACGACCTGACAACAATAATTTTAGAGGAGGAAAAGTCTATTTGGAGCTCATAGTTTCAGAGGTCTCAGTCCCTAGATGGCCAACTCCATTTCTTTGGCCCTGAGGTGAGGCAGAGCATTATGGCAGAAAGGTATGGAGGAGGAAAGCAGCAGCCAAGGACATGGTACCAGGAAGCAGAGAGAAAGAGAGCTCCACTCTTCAGGGATAAAATATATACTCCAAATGCATGCCCCAATGACCCGCCTCCTCCAGCCACACCCTACCTGCCAACAGTTACCACCCAGTTAATCCCTGTCTGGTCATTGAGTAGAGTAACTCTCATAACCCAATTGTCTCACCTCTGAATTTTCTTGCATTGTCTCACACATGAGCTTTTGAGGGACACCTAATATCCAACCCATAACAGCTATACATATATAGACAGTAACTAGGAAGTATGTCTGTTACAAAGTAGTGCACTGATACCTTTGTTTGTTTGTTTATTTATTTGCAGTACTAGGGATTAAACCTGGATCCTCATGCTTGTTAGACAAGCACTCTGCCTCTCAGTTGCTTACCCACTGCACCAATTGATACTAGTTTTGAGGTATTGTGTCCTGATATTATGGTTGTTGCTCTCCTTTGTGTTGTAACTGAGTTGTTTATTTTGGCTTTGGATTTTTTTTGAGGGGGAGAGGTTGCTGAGGATTGTACCCAGGGGTCTCAAGCAAATTAGGCAAGCACTATTCTACTAAGCTACAACCCTAGTCCTTACCTGAGGTATCAACCAGGAGTATGCATAAGAATCTTGGTGGAATGTTATGAAGATACAGAATGTCAGATCTCTCCTGCACCAGGTGTGCTTGATTTAGATTCTCTAGGAGATAGGATCCTTTTTTTTTTTTTTTAATTAGGGATTGAACCCAGGTGCACTTAACTTCAGAGATACATCCCCAGCCCTTTTTATATTTTTAAATTTTGAGGCAGGATCCCACTAAGTTGCTGAGCACCTTGTTATGTTGCTGAGGCTGGCTTTGAACTCCCAATTCTCTTGCCTTGGCCTCCCCAGCCACTGGAATTACAGGCCTGCCCCACCTCATCCAGCAAGTCACTTTTAAGGTTCTAAGAAACCAGTGCCATTGGTGACTTCCAGGGGAGAAAGGAGATAGGGAGACTGCCTGAGTACATTATCTCTTCAAAAACTAAAGTATAAAATGATGAGCATATTCAAACACTGTTTGTAGCTCATGTTCACATGTGTGTTTGTCTAGAGGAAATTAGTACAATGTGCCTGGGAAATGGTAGCTCACTACTGAGGGCGGGTGTTGGAGAGGTAGAAGGCAAGAGTTTGGTTCCATTTGTGATATTTTATTAATGTCTATTAAAAAGAAAGATTCAATGCAAAATGGCAAAACCTGTTCAGTTTTGTCCAGTTGAGTATGTCAATGTCTGTTGTATTCCGTTTGAAAGATTTCATGGTTCAAAGCAAATATTTAAAATGAAAACAAAGTAAAAGTCAAAAATATTCCAGGATCGCTCTGCTGTGCTCCAGGTGAGCTGCCCAGAGCTGGGCAGCGGGTGACGTGCTGATCTTCAGTAAGGAGGCACCCTCAGGGGCTTTCTTCATGTTCATAGCACAAGTAACACATGAAACTTAAGGAGGGTCTGTGGGGTCCCTGGCGTGGGTCCCTGTCTTAGGTTCTCGTCTCCTTGTGTTTCAGGTGTTTGTGGCCAGTCCTCACAAAACCCAGCCTATTGTGGAGATTCTGTTAAAAAATCAACCCAAACTCATTGAGTTTCTGAGCAGCTTTCAGAAGGAAAGGACAGATGACGAGCAGTTCAGCGATGAGAAGAACTACCTGATTAAACAGATCCGAGACTTGAAGAAACCGGCCCCCTGAAGACAGTTTCCTGCCCTGGTCATGTGTCCCCTTTGCCCAGTTCGTACAATGTCATATCCAAAAGTCGTCATTCTTGGGGAGGCTTTGGAGGTGCCTGTTTTTTCTTAACTACTTGTTCAGGGTGGATGGAATATAAACATTTGAATGGAAAAAATTAATCTAGAATAATATATTCATTTTAATTAAGTCTGTGATTATTTATGTGAAATCAGAGCCATTGTATTAGAAGTTGATGGATGAGTCATCACAGAGGAGCTCAAATGTCAGGCTCCTCGGAGTCCTGGGGTGGGGTGGGGGGACTGGGGGTGGGGCCAGGAGGTGGGAAATCCTTCTGCCCATCTGTACTTGAGCAGATTTCTTAAGGTGCAGGAAGGTGCCAGAGGACAGGCTACTGGTGTCAGTCCTGGGTGTGCTTTTGTCTCTGCCCGGTATATCACCATCATCTCCCCACCCCACCCAGGACTGGGGATTGAACCCCGGACCTTGCAGATGTTAGGCGAGTGCTCTGCCACTGGTTACATACCACGCCCTGCCCAGGATGCTGACTATAATTAATTGCTTCCCACCTCTCAGCTCACTTTCTGCTCACCGTCCCACGTTCCATTCCATGCCCAACCCACGCAGGGAGCAACCAAGTAGGATCAGGGTGGGTCAACAAGGGCTGTGATGTATATAAAGGACCCACAGGGCGGACTGCTCACAGGAGAACTGCAAACAGGTGGTTCCAGACAAAGTCACTGCTGTTCCATGTTGACTTCTGGAGGGTCAGTGATTGGAGTATTTCATTCATAATTGTCACTATGGAATGCATGTTTGTGGTGACAGTGTATTTTTAAATGAGTAGAAATCATTGCATTGGAATTGTAGTGGGTACAAACCATAGGTCCAGAGGGTCACAGTACGGGACTTCTACTAACAGGTGATATGGCCCGTGGAAAGGCAAATGATTCATACATGAAAAAAAAAAATCCAAATGACTTAAGGTTCTTTTTTCCCCCGGTTGTGACATTCTGTCACTATCAAGAAGTCTTCTGTGAAAAAGTAAATCTAAAAACTTTGGTTCCAAATGCTCTCTTACATTCCAGGACAATTAAGGAGTTAATCTATGTTCCTTTGAAAGGTCAAGAAACTAAAGATAAATAAGTTTTTTTAATGTTATGACTTGTTTTCAGACATCAAATATATAAAATGAAATTTTCAAGCTATTTCTAGAACATGAAGGGTACAATGGCTACTCTGTGTTTTCTAAATCATAAGTTGTTCCCTTCCACGAGAACTCTCAAATTTTACAAAACTTGGGTGCTGTGTTCTGTCCTTCAGCCAGAGATTTCTCCACCTAGAGAGGAGAAAGAAATGCGTTGTCCAGGATCAGTGCCCTTGGTAGATTTTGTACCTGAAGAATGACCTGGCAGGGTGTGTCCCTTCCTGGCTGGGGTACAGGAGCCCTGAGGCAGATGGTCTGGGTGGGACCTGCCACACCTTCTCATAGCAGCTCTGGCATGTGCCAGCAAGAGGGTCAGTGCCAGCTCCTAAGGACCTGCGTTTTCTAGTCACTCAAGTCACATTATTTTAATAACACTCTCTAGAAGTCCAGAGTCCCTTAGAATTTGGCTTTTCTGGGTTTGCTTATTTGATTAAAAAAGATGAGTGCAAATATTTTTAAAGGAAAGTGAAATAACCATTGGAAATGTATTTGGTTGCTTAATGGTGTTACATAACATCATGGGACACATGTTTTTCATTGAAAAGTAAAACTTTATTATAATTTATTTTTACAAAGAAAACATTTTATTTTCTCTGGGCTTGAGTTAGCTCTTCCCTAATGTCCCCTTATCGTTACTCCGTACCTGTCAAAAAGAAAACTAGTTTCCCACACGGTAAATGAAGTAGCTGGGGTTTTGCTGTGATGTGAGTTTGTAAATTATTAACTCAAAAGGGGAACAGGAAGCTCACCGTCAAACTGTTTGCACAAAGATCACTGTAAATATTGTGAGAATTGAATTTTGAAAAGGTCATATTTAATAATCTATTTCTAAAGCACATGTTTAAATAAAGACTGACTAAATAAAAAGATCCCACACACACTGGTTGGTCTCATTCCTCTACGTGTGGGTCATGCCACTGTGTTCTTGTCATTGCTCCAAACAGCAAAGGCCCCAGGCTCGAGGTTGAACCAGGCTGGGTGGGGTTCTGAGACTGCACTGAGACCCCTGCCCCCGTCCTCCTGTGACCCGGTGCACATTCCATCAGCCAAGTGTTGATAACTGCCCACAACCAAGTGCCACCTGCCTGGCACTAAATCTACACATTCCATTATCAATACTCACTGTGGCTGAGACTCATTCCCATGAAATATTTGAGGACATGGGGGTTCTGAGCAGCTTAACTATCCCCGCCATAATGGAATGTGCTAGATAGAGACTAGGCCCAACTCCTGCTCTTTCTCCCTTCTTCATCCTTCTAGACCCTTTGGAACTAAGAAGGCTCAGGGTGTTGGGGACTACATGGTGCTCTCCCTTCTGCTGCCTGGAAGGCTCCAAGGGTGTCGAGGTCTTGGAGTGAGGCCGGCAGAGACTGAGATCACAGTGTTCTTGGACAGGGCTCTCAGCTACAGCCAGGCGTCTGCCCAAGGGTTAGCCTTGCTCTTGGAGAAAAGACTGGGCAGCACACACCCCTTGTAAAATAGGTTCTGATTCCCATCCTCATGGGTTCTCATCCTCTGATGGCTTGGGGAGGGGTGGGGGCAATATGTACACCCAGGGAGGGGCTGTACGCCTCTCAAAACCTTCATCACACGCCTTTCCCATGAGACACAGCTGCTGTGAGACACACTGGAGTCTGGAAATTACACAAGACGTAGAAATTTCACAAGACCTGGAAGTGACTATGAAAAGTGAGGGAAATGGAATTAAAAAATAACTAGAATGGCTTTTAATGTGAAAAGATAGATCTTTCATTCACATAAAGTCACCATCTTTGTGTAGATGTTCTTTCAGGAAGTTTCAGGGTACTTAAGGGAGTACTCACAGATAAAGGTTTGAAACCCACACCATAAGGAGAGCTTGAAAAGCTAAACTCGGTCTGCCTTCGAAGAGCAAAACAGGTTGAAGATGGATGTGAATATGGAAGTGATGTTTGTTTTTTTGATACCAGGTATTCAACCCAGAGGTGCTTAACTACTGAGCCCCATCCCCAGCCCTTTAAAAAAAAAAAAATTTATTTAGTGACAGGGTCTTGCTGAATTGCTCAGTGCCTCACTAATCTGCTGAGATTGGCTTTGAACTTGCAATCCTCCTGTCTCAGCTCTGAGAGTTGCTGGGATTACAGGCATGAGCCACCATGCCTGGCAAGGTGATGTGTTTTTGAAGTTTGAAAAATGCTGGCTTGTGGCTACAATTGTCATAGGAAAGCCGAGAGCTGAAACTCCAAACCTTGGTTCTTGTGTTCCAACAAAAGAAAATTTAATCAGACACCAAAAGCCATGCAAGAAAACTTTATTATAAAATACAGGACAAACAAAGTGAGGCGCAAGCAAAGAGAAAGAGAGAGAGAGAGAGAGAGAGAGAGAGAGAGAGAGAGGGAGAGAGAGGTCATTTCCAAGCAACAACAAAGGAGACAATGCTGTCTTCAAATTTATTCCCGTTTGACGTTTACCTGGAGAACTGGGGACCACCTTCAGTACTCTTTGTCAATCAGTGTTCAACTCCTCCTTCAATCAGGTGGTGGAGTTTTTGACCTTAGTGGGTCCTCTCCAGAACTGTCATGGTGGCCATCCTGTTGGGGGGCGGGGGGGAGGCTTTATCTATAAGTCAATCCCATGTTAGTGTGGGCATTGGGGTCAATAGCCGGTCAGACATTGTCTTACTGTGCCTGTGCTATTAAAGGAACCTTCCTTCCTAGTCAAACAGAGACATCCACAGCCATAATTCTTAGCTTTACACTAACCTCAATGGCCCCTGTCAAGAGTTAGTCCCATTAATCCTTTTCTTTTGATGTATTATCCCATTAGCTCCTTGGCTTCTGTTTATTTTCTACAAATTAACTCCCACCCTTTGGCTTTCTCAGCCACTTTTACAGTAGTTTAAAGAAGACCCTAAAGTAATTTAAAGAACACTTGTGACCTTGCCATGCACCTAGCGACTACCCAACACCATGATTAAAGGCAAAGCAGAATGCAATTATGAGCCCGGCCTGCACTCAACCCTGAGATGGCCCAGTCAAGTCCCCACTTTACAGAGAACGTGGAGCTCAGAGAGCATCAGTAGCGTGCTCCCAAACAGCTGACACAGAGTCAAGGTCAGGTCTGACCTCAAAGTCCAAGTCGGGGAACCTGTCCAGGCTGCTGCCCAAGTCTCCTATTCAGTTCCTCAGCTTTTCAGCTCTCCCCACCTGGAACAGGTACCTCATTTCCTCATGGCCCAAGAAGAAGAGGGAATCCAGGTGCCAGGCCTACCAGGTAACTCAGCAGAAAGAGTTTAGAAGTTAGATTCATTCAAGAACTTTTCACTTGGTTTTCTGATGTTTGGAAAATCAAATTAGACATCAATGTAGGGCAGAGGCATTTGATCTTGAATTTCTCCATGATTTTGAGCAACCCTTGTCCTCCACAGAGGCAGGCATTGATTTCAGACTGCAATCCTACACTTTCTGTGTTTTCTTGGCTTGCTTCATCAGCTGGACATTACAGTAGCCTAGATTTCCTGATAGGACCGGTTGACGCCTGGTCAACCATTCCTCCATTTCACATTCCTGAGTGACCCAGAGCCATGGGGCTGCCTGGAGGCTGAGGGTCATGATGAATGTACATCAGATTCCTCCCTGGGCCACCTCCTTCCCTTATCATTCCCTCCTCCAAAAGGAGGACATGCAGTTACCTTAAAGTCACCACAAACACAAAGTCACACCCTTTGCCACCAGTTAATTCAATATAACATCATTTAATCACTGCATTGTGAGCCATCTGTGTTATTTTAAAATGCTGTGACCAGTGCTCACTTAGGCAATGCATATCCTTAAAAATTGGAAGGACACAGCTGTAGGCACACAAGTGTAATCCCAGGAAGTCAGGAGACCAAGACAGGAGGATCATAAATTCAAGGACAGCCTTGGCAACTTAGTGAGGCTTTTGTCTCAAAACATAAGGAGTGGGGATGTAGTTCAGTGGTTAAGCATCCCCTGGGTTCTGTGATACCAAAATTCATAAGGAAGATAAACACGGCTCCTGTGCAAAGATGACATGCAAATTTGCAAAGTGTTCCATATTTTTTTTCTCATGTGCAGAAGCTAGAGAGATCAAAGAAATAAAGGGATCTCACAAAAACAGAAGAGAGACCAGTAGAGGAGGGCAATTGAAGAAAAGGAAGGGAAAGAGGAAAAGGGAGGTAGGTTCTAGGGAATTAAATCAATCAAATTATCGATTGCATGTGCAATCGATATATATCGATATATATATCACAATCAATCCACTTTTATGAATGATTATACTGCACCAATTTAAAAATAGAAGGGAGACTAGTAGAGTAGAAGATTGGGGGAAGGGAAGGGGGAGGTACGCGGAGATTTTTTTTTTAATAAAGCACTGTGATCATATGAGTCTTTGGGGAAAACATGTTGCAATAGACACTAATAGTTTGTCTTTTAGGGAAGGTTGGGAAAAAATAAAATTACCTAATTGTAGTTCTGAAATTCAAAACTTAAAAAAAAAGTAGCCAAAATACTCAAACACAAATCTATTCATTCATCTAACACCAGTTGAACTCTTCCTCCCTGCTGGTTAGGGATGTACCCAAGGAAAAGAGCCACTGAGTGACACTCTGGAGTTACCGCAGGGGGCAGATGTGGGGTGGTGGTGGGAGTGGAGCGGTCACTAGTGGCTGACCTATAGAACAGCAGCACCATTCACTTCGGGGACCCCAGCTGGGCCTGGATTGGGAGAAGCTGAGAGAGCAGGTTGAGGGGAACAGGAAACCCTGTCCACAAAGGAACCCAGCAGGTCTGTGACAACATGGGCCAGCTGTGACCACAGCAGCCCCACCTCTCTTCTCCGCTCAGGTCTGACCTGACTTGCTCCATTACATTCAGAAGAGAGACTTCTGGAAATGTGCTGCAGCTCAGCTGAACCAATGTGGTGGGAACCCACCACAGGTGCTCTGGGGAGAGAGGGGATTGTTAGCATGTCCTCTTACTGTCCCTTTCCACTGCAAGGAATTCAGATCATTTTTTTTTCCTTTTCAATAACATCTACTCATGAGACATTTATGCTAAGCAAACAGAATGGCTTGGACTTGGGCCACAGCCACACCCAGACTTCAATCCTGGCTCCACTACTAGCTATTTGACCTCAAAAATCTCTGAGCTTCAGTTTTCTACCTGGAAAATAGGGGGTGGGGGGGTGGAGAAAGGACCTGCCTCACAGGATTGTTGTGGGTGTTGGTAAAGATGGCGCCCTGAACCATCACCTCCAATCCCTGAAGTGGACCGAACTCTCAGCCAATGAAGAAGTAACAGCCCACTCGCCTTGCTCCTCCTCATCCTGCGTTAAGCCTGTAAATATCAACACCCTGTGCATGTTGGCTCTGTTACCCTCTCACTCTTACTCTCTCTCCCCCTCCTCTCCTCTCTCTCCCCCTCCTCTCCTCCCTCTTCCCCCTCTCCTCCCTTCACTTCTGCGACTGGCCACTACGATCCTGCTAATAACAGGATCTCGGACAGGTAAATGGTTGTTTTGGCTTGTTGAGTTTGCAGAGCTTTTCCATGGTCCTTTACAGTGGGCATCAAAGAGAATAAAGCCTGTGACAGGCCCGGCTCACAGCCCCTGTGCCTATGGCATCTCCCTCTCAGGAGGGAGAGAGTGAGCTCCGGAGCCACGTGAAGGTCAGGGCTGTGGAGCATGTCGTGGCCAGGAAGCAGATGTGAGCTTGGTGCAGGGCGCGTGGACACCTGGAGGGGTGGGGCGGGAGCCTTGAAAGCCAAGGTGAGGTTCTGATGGCTGGTAACAGGCGTCCACTTCATGCTCTGAACACAGCCCTTTCTGCTCTGCACTGCGGCTGACTTTAAAACTGACAGAGGAGGGAGATCAGGTGGC